GAATTGAAATCCGTTTGCATCTTTGCGATCAGACAGTCGAATTCTATCCAACTATATAATTTTTATATTTATTTGAAATACTTTTTCCGACATCATATTTTTGAGTGTTTGACTTTGACAGAGTCAAAATTGGTTTATTTGACCTTTATTCAAAAAGGTTCTCACATTTAATTCATATCATTTGTTCTCATGATTTATTTCAATAAATCATTTTAAAGTTCATATTATAAATAATTTCTTCATTTATTTTTTATTTGGGTCTGTACTCAGGTTCCCAATCAAGACCACACAATTAGTCAACATATTGGATTTATCTCTATGAGACTTATCTAGATTTTGATATTGGAAATTAAAACATATTTCATATCGGCCCAAAGCCCAACAATAATTTATTTTAATCAAAACAAATTTGATTAATTGAATTATTCATTAATAATTTTAGGGTATGTTTTGGGGCGTTACACTATAATCAAGAAGAAGACATTGATTTCGAAGAAACTTATGCACCCGTAGCACGTTTAGAAGCTATTCGTTTATTTCTTGCTTTTGCTTCGTCTATGGATTTTAAACTTTATCAAGATGATGTTAAGAGTGCCTTCCTCAATGGTTTTATTCAAGAGGAAGTGTACGTCGACCAGCCCCGAGGGTTTGAAGACTTTGAGTACCCCGACCACGTCTTCAAACTCAAAAAAGCGCTCTACGGTCTTAAACAAGCACCCCGTGCTTGGTACGAACGCTTGAGTAGATTTCTTTTGGACAGTGGGTTCCATAGGAGAAAGGTTGACACTACACTTTTTATCAAGAGTAAAAACAATAACATCCTTTTGGTTCAAGTCTATGTAGACGATATCATATTCGGTCTACCAACGAGTCTTTGTGCAAGGAATTCTCAAAGTTAATGACAAGCGAGTTCGAAATGTCAATGATGGGCGAGCTCACGTTCTTTTTGGGACTCCAAGTCAAGCAAATGAAAGATGGCACTTTCATTTGCCAAAATAAATATTGCAAGGAGCTCCTAAAATGGTTTGAAATGGACAACGCCAAAGCCATGGCGACCCCGATGAGCACGTCCGACCATCTAGACAAAGACGAGAAAGGTAAGGAAGTAGAAGTCAAAAAGTATCGAGGTATGATCGGATCCCTTCTCTATCTTATCGCTAGTAGGCCGGATATCATGTTTAGCGTATGCCTTTGCGCAAGGTACCAATCATGTCTGAAGGAATCACACTTAACAGCGGTGAAACGGATCATGAAATACCTTGTTGGCAAGGTTAACGTTAGACTGTGGTATCCAAAAGGCTCTTCGTGTCATCTCGTTGGTTATTCCGACTCGGACTTTGCCGGTTTCAAATTGGACCGTAAAAGTACGAGTGGGACTTGCCACTTACTTGGTAGCTCCTTAGTTTCATGGTTTAGTAAGAAACAAGTCAGTGTTGCGTTATCCACAACCGAAGCAGAATACGTTTCTGTCGGTAGTTGTTGTGCTCAAATCCTTTGGATGAAGCAACAACTCGTGGATTATGGCCTTAGTATCAGTCACGTTCCACTTCGTTGTGATAATACTAGCTCCATAAGCATGACGAAGAACCCCGTTCTTCATTCAAGGACGAAACACATTGATATTAGGCACCATTTCATTAGAGATCATGTTCTCAAAGGTGATGTCGAAATTGAGTTTGTTGAAACACACAACCAATTAGCCGACATTTTCACAAAACCTTTAGAGAAAGAGTCGTTCTTCCGCATTTGTAGTGAACTCGGAATCCTTGACTCCACGATGATCTAATTTGTGCATTTTATCACTCTTTGTTTGAACATTTACTAACTTGAGCGTCGGAGGGTTTTCTAACTCTTTTTTACAGGGACGGTTCGAGGTGAAGGAATCCGGAAGTCAGGGGGAACCAGCGATGGGTGGGTTATACCATCGCTGGGAGGGAAGTCTTCATTTTTTTCAGAACCCTCTTCCGATCGATGGGTACTTTCTCCCATCGATGGGTGTTTGACTCTATTCTTTTAAAATTTCTTAACAGATTTCCAGAAACCCTTTACCCATCGCTGGGTGAATGACTTGTGTTTTAAAATTTTTTTCCAGAACCTCCCCACCCATCGATGGGTACTTCCTCCCATCGCTGGGTGTTTGACACTATTTTTTTAAAGATTTTTTATCGGTTTCCAAAACCCACCTTCCCATCGATGGGAGAATCTTAACATCGCTGGGAAGGCCATGTTCTTTTCTTCGTCAATTTCCAGAAGCCACCTTCCCATCGATGGGAAGATCCTCCCATCGCTGGGAAGGCTGGTGCATTTCAAAAATTCAGAGCCATTGGGCACCACATTAATTGCCCAACAACCATATTTTTGAATCCAAACGGCCAAATCCTCCATTCCCTATATATTTCCATCATATTTGTTCATTCTAATACACCATTAACATCATACTTTCATTCCTTCATCCAAATCTACATAGTTGATCTCTCTTTCTGCAAAAGCATCTCCACTATGGCCGGAGGGAAGAAGACGAAGGCTTCCAAGAAGAAAAGCACCGTCGAAGCCTCAAGCTCTGCGCCTAAACCATTCCCCTATCTCGATGGATCCTTCTTGGAGTTCGGGTCGGAGGAGGAACTCACCCGGTTCCTCACGCACTTTGCCAAGCGTCCTATTTCTCCGCCTAAGGTGCTGCCCGAGTTATACCCTCAACAAAAGGGGTACCACGACCTCGACAATCAACTTCAAGCGTCGGGTCTGTGGTCGTTTGTCTCCAGGAGCCGTCAATCCTACAATCCCGCCTTTGTCCGGGCCTTCTACTCCAATCTCCGCCGTGACGGGGACACCATCCGCAGCAGCATCAATCTCTATGACATAGAGATTGATTTGCCTACCTTTGCTCGGGTCGCAGGGCTGCCCATCCGCGGTGACGACATCGCGACATATGGTGGTGACGATTGGATCCTCAACAACGAGGCAGTCGTCATTCGTGAGCTTGGGATCACCAACTAGATCCGCCACAGCGGCGCGCCGACGATTCACTCAGCCCCACCGGACAAGCGCCTCCTCCTCTACATCATCACCCGGATTCTTCGCCCCCGAGACAGCAACCATACCTCGGTCTTCAACGAGGATTTGAAGGCGATTCATGCAATCATCCACGACGCCTCCATCAATTGGGCAAAATTTGTCATGATACACATGGCGGATTGCGCCTCACTCGCCACCGAGCGGAGCTTGCCGTACGCCTTCCTCATCATGGACATCATCGTCTCCGCCGATATCCACATCGCCGGGCCAGACACGAAGATGACAAAGCTTTGGATGATCGCCGACACCACCTTCCGAAAGAAGTCTGGAAACAGAGACGGCGCAGGCCCAAGTCGTGCACCAGCCCCCGCTCCCGCCAAGGCCTCTTTGCAATCCATAGCCGATACCCTGAATCGGCTAACCCTCACAGTGGATGGCATGGGGCAGTCAATCGAGCGGATGGACTGGACGTTGCAACGCCAACACCACGACATGATGGCATACTTCCGTGGCGTCAACTATGTTCCGCCACCTTTCGACAGCACCATTCTCGGCCAAAACTTTGAAGTCGAGGATGAGGACGACGACTCCTACGCTCCGTCCTCCTCCCCCGACGAGGCCGACTTTGAAGATGCGGTCGACAGTGATCCTATGGACGTCGAGGACGACGGGGATGCCGACACCGACTCCTAGAATCTTCTTTCTTTTAATATGATTGTATTTTTTTTTATTATTTCCATTCCGTTGTATTCCGCATTTCCCTTTTCATGAATAAAAATTACTTTTAAATCTTTTTGTTAATGTCAAAAGAGGGAAGATATAAAGGTTATGCATTAATTGAGGGGGAATTTTTTTTCTCAAACACTTTGTTAAAAATAAAATTATATTTATTAAGGGGGAACATTTTTTTAAATCCTCCTATGCATAACCTCGTCTTGTTTGCCATTATCAAAAAGGGGGAAATTGTTGAAACACGGGTTTGTCACGTTTTTGTACTAAAGCCGTGTTCGTCTTTATGACAGGTTTTGATAATGCCAAACCGCCGAGAACGAGACAAGTCATTGAATATACAAGGCGAAGAAAGAAGATAAGAACAAGAGCTAAAAGAAGACCAAGAACAAAGACCGTAGTCTTAGTATTGTTGAGTCGGTCACAATTGTGATCAAGACCGACCCAAACCTCACGCCTTGGCTCTTTAGGCTAAAATATATTTTTGCATTTATAATATCATAAAAATGTTTTTCAAACTTGTTCAAGACATTAAAAACACTTGGTGTTCGCCCAAACCAAAAACCAAGCCATCCGGCGTTCGGCTTTTAGAAACCGGCGTTCGACATTCGGTTTTCGGTGTTGGTTTTTGGCATCCGAACCAACCAAGTGGTTTTCAACATTTTATGATTGGTTTTTACTTTTTGGCATGTTTAAACAGTTCTTCAACAAAAACATCTTAAAAACCACCTTTCGGTTTTGGTCGTTTGGCAAAAACCACGTAAAACGGCATAAACTTGGCTAGCCATGGTTTTTAACCAAATGACATGGTTTTTAAAATGTCTCACTTGATTTCTTAGCCAAATACATCAAATAGGTGTTTTAAGCACCTGGTTTTTATTTTGGAGAACTTTGGATTTTTCGGTCGGTTTTTGCATCGGTTGGCTAGGCCGCGGTTAAGGCAAAAACCACGGGTTTTTGACTAACCACTTACCCAGCGATGGGAAAAACTACCCATCGATGGGTAAGCTGTCCTTTAACCCAACCAAGTTCCAGAACCATGCCAAACATCGATGGGAAGTTCTACCCATCGCTGTTAAAACCTTGGTCCAACATCAACACAAGGCAGAACGACCTTACCCAGCGATGGGGAACGTATCCCATCGATGGGAACCCAGCAATGGTATGTGTAAACCATCGATGGGAAGGCATGACCGTTGGAAGTCATTTAAGGTTGATTCTTTCCTTATTTGGAAGTCAACCTCCCACCCAGCGATGGGAAGATTGTACCCATCGATGGGTAGGTGACCGTTGGCTTCAAAACTGAAAGAAAATTGGCCTACCAGCGATGGGTAAAGTCCATACATCGCTGGGAAGCCAATATCCTGCAGATCCACAATTTATTCAATCCCATAAATCAAGCCAATCACCCCTTTAATGTATTGGTCCGTTGGAGCCTATTTTGGCACTATAAAAAGGGGTGTTTGGGTCTGCTTTTCTCATCAATTCACTTCACAATTTTCCTACTTTCATTGCATTCAAACAACATCTATTTCCATAGCTTTTTAGAGCCAATACGTGTGAAGTTTGAGTTGTTCTTGAGCGTACTTAGTTTACTCATTATCTACTCTATAAGAGAGTCTCGTTCTTGAGTGTATTTGTGTTCCTAGACACGCTGAGAGAAAGTATTTCTCTCGGTTGATTCAAAGGAAGGGTTGTTTCGTTTGAAGGATTCGTTGAGGTTCATGTGACTCGAACTCTCAAGTTGTAAGGGTTTGTTAAGCACCGTTAAGCTTAACGAGATAGTAGTGTAGCTCGAGAGAGTCTCTCGGGAGGCTGGATTAGCCACAAGTTGTGGTGAACCAGGGTAAAATCGGTGTGCCTCTTACTCTTCTCTTTACATCTCTTTTAAATTTTTTAATTCCTGCGATTTCTACGATCAAACGCTATTCACCCCCCCTCTAGCGTTGGTCTATTATTCTAACAAAGGACCTCACACAGACAGTCAGGAAATCAAAGAGAATACAAGAAAAGACACAAACATTCAGTTCCTCATCCACTGTTTCTCAATGAACCCACTCTTTTGGAACATCTGTGGCCTAAGCTCCAAATCTCAAAGACTGGCCAACCTTATCCACACTCATAAAATTACCTTTTGTGCCATCATTGAACCAAAACTGGATCCTGTAAAATCAACCAGTATCAATTCATGTTTGGTTTTACCCACTCATTCCACTCAAAAGATAACAGAATATGGATCATGTGGCAAGACTCTCAACTTACCTACATTACCCACTCTGACCAATCCCAAACAATCCACACCAATTTCACCCTCAACAATAACCCTATCCTCATTACTACTGTTTATGGCAAATTCTCCACTACTGACAGAAAAACTTTGTGGGATGATCTGCATACAACTAGCCAATCCACTAATTCCCCCTGGATTATTGGTGGTGACTTCAACAGCATCTCTTCCCTTGATCATCACAAAGGCAATAGCAGGCCTTGCCTTAATAGTATTCAGGACTTTGATCTCTGCATTATCAACAGCTGCCTCATCTCCCCTCCCTTCTCTGGAAGCCCCTTCACCTGGTCTGGTGTTAGATCCCTGGGCAGGTTGTGGAGAAGACTTGACAGAATTTTCATAAACACCACTTACTCCAACCTTTTTCCAAACACTTCAACTGAACACCTACCCAAAGCCAGTTTAGACCACAATCCAATTCTGGTAAAATCCTCCAACTCAACTTACCAGGGGCTGAGACCATTCAGATACATCAATTGCTAGAGCTCCCATCCCTCATACAAAGAGACAATAAGGTCTGCCTGGGGTAGATACACTGGAGGTGGCATGCAAGGTCTAAGCAATAAGCTTCTCAATCTGGGGAAAGTCCTTCAAGCATGGAACAAATCTACATTTGGAAATATCATTAGCAAAGTCAACCTTTTGGAGGATGAGCTCGAAAAGACTGAAATGGAATATGATGAAAACTCCAACATTGATAACAGAATCCTAATGAACAAAGCCAGAGCAAACCTTATTCAAGCCAACTCTCACCATTACGAGTACTGGAAGCAAAAAGCAAACATTAAATGGTTGAAGATACCTCCACTTTGGACTCCCAATTTCTGGATAACATCCCTATCCTTATAACCCATGAAGATAACTCCAATCTTACTGCCCTTCCTAATGTGGATGAAGTCAAAACTGCAATCTGGTCAATGAATCCTGACAGTGTAGCCGGACCAGATGGTTTTAATGGAAACTTCTATAAAACTAATTGGGACTGCATTAAGGAAGATTGCACCAAGGCTTTCTAAGAGTTCTTCCTTGGAATCCCCATTCCTAAGGATCATGCCAAAACCACTATCATACTCATAGCCAAGAAAGAAAACCCCTCCAGCTCTTATGACTTCAGACCCATCTCTCTAGCCAATTTTTGCACAAAAATCTCCTCCAAACTTTTAGCCACCAGGCTTGGGAGGATCCTACCCAAACTCATATCCCAAGAACAAGGAGGATTCGTCAAGGGCAGATTCATCCATGATCAGATTCTCATAGCCCAAGAAATGATCCAAGGGCTAGACTACAAGAGATGGGGAGGGAATCTAGCCATTAAACTGGACATGTCTAAGGCATTTGACAAGGTATCCTGGCAATATCTAATGGAGGTCCTTAACAAATTTGGTTTTAGCCCCAGATTCAGGCATCTAATCATGAACATGCTCAAATCCACTCACATCTCCGTCATGGTCAATGGGATCCCAACCAAGAGCTTCAAACCTAAACGAGGACTAAAACAGGGAGACCCACTCTCACCTCTGCTTTTTATCCTAGCTTCTGAAGGTTTTAGCAGAACCCTCAACAATCAAATTCAAAATGGTCACATTACCCCTTACTCCCTGGGCAGACACTCCTTAACTGTCTCTCACCTTGCATTCGCTGATGATTTGATTCTATTAATTGAACGCAGCTCCCAAAATCTCCATAAAGTCAAAAATCTACTCAAGGACTGTGAACAAACCTCCGGGCAGCAAATAAACCTCTGCAAAAGTACCTTCATCCCTCCCAAAAAAGGCCAGCACAGCATACATCTCTAGGGCCAGGAAGATTCTGGGAATGAGAAATGGCCACCTGCCCTTCAAATACCTTGGGGTTCAAATTCATAAAGGAATCAATAGGAAGGAATATTGCAGCGACCTAATTGCTTACTTTGATAACAAACTCCAAGGCTGGCACAAAAATTCCTTAGCCAGAGTGGTAGATTGAT